AATAATCTTTTCCAAGCTGTATTTTCAGTGGAAAAATATGTTTTGGCAACATTTTCCTAGAAGAATGAAGACCAGTAATGGAAAACTGAAACAAAAGTGAAAAATAAGAGGACAACATTTTTATTCTATTTTCTTTGTTTTAAAAACTCGACAAAGGGTACTGGTTTTAAAAAGGCTATTGTTTATGGCTTTCAGTTTCTGTGAACATTATGCCATTAGCAACTTACCTTATATGAAATAATCTTCAAAATATTGATTTTAAAAGCAAAAGAATCAAACGTACATTTTGTTTGTCTCTTGCCAGGCATTGTGAACTTCAATAGCTGAATAGATGTTGGACGCCAGTCTGGCTTTACAGCTGAAAACCTCATACTGGCAAATTATAGATTTTTTCCTTTTAATGTGAAAAACTTTTCACACAAAGTATAAAATGTCTACAAATTAAGTCCATCCTTAAACTAAACTGTATTGTGCTTAGCGTTAGGGTATCTTTTATAACATGAAGAAATATAGATATTGAGTATGGAAAAAAATAGGGAAATGTAATGTTTTGTTCAATAAAAATTAATATTAGATGCCTGTAAATCTTGATATACTTATAGTTGCCATCCTTGTTTACTACAAAAAAAAAAAAGCAGAGAGAGAAATTTGCTGAAGTTGTTTATTTGGTATGAGGTCTCCCGCTTGAGCAGTGGGTTGGACTAGATGACCACCAAGGTCCCTTCCAACTCTATTCTGTCTGAATATTTATGCCTGAATGTTTGTGTCTGTGTTAGATCATAATTCAGTCTTTGCATATTGCTGCAAATATTGAAGCATTTCTTCATAATTATATAATTATGTGAATGAAAACAAAACTGACCAAGGACAGGTATGTATCCACTTTTGAGGTTAGTCTGTACTAGTGAGAATAGATGTGAAACAATTTTATTTCTCTTCTGGTACTGTGATGGCAAGCTTCCCCCTTTAAGAAGCACCTTCTTGGGCTCAAAGGTGTTAGATAATTACTGCCTGGTCTCAAACCTTTCTTTTTCTTTTTTAAATGTTAAGGAATATAGAGCTGCCTTGAGAATGAGGGAAATAAATGAATCCTTAAGCAGAGACTTTCACGAAAAATTACTCAGTCTTGAAAAAGAAGAAAGTGTATAAAATGCACTTGCCTTGAGTTTGTTTGGTGTAAGATGGGAGAGATAAAACTTTATCAGGTTTTCTAGATTCTATTATTTTACCCTAAAAATAGTGAAAAGGATCCAGCCTCCCAATATCTGTTTGCTTTTATGTGGGAGGAGCAACAGTACACCTGGACCCGTCTACCCCAGGGGTATACCAAATCACCCACCCTCTTTTCACAGACCTGTCTTCCATCTGTCTGCCATGAAAATCCACTCCAGTTCAATCCATGCTGTACTTGTTTCTTGGTGTTGTCTACCCCAAATAGCTAACATCAGAGAAGGTGGTGATAAGAGGACAATGGTTCTCGTGAAGTCAACTATGAAACTCTTTAGAAGTTGATTTTTTTAGGTCCGGCCAGGGGTGGGATTTGGCAGTTCACTGAACCAGCCATAGCGTTAGCAACAGGTCCCCCTAAACCCGGGCGAACCCGTAGCAGTCCACTCTGCCTAAATCTAACTAAGCTTCCCATTTTGAACAGGTTTTCAGGTGCACAGTTAGTGCCTTACTCTGAGATCTTACACTTGAATTACTCTAAAAACTCTCCCAACTCTCTTTTACTCTTCATATTGCATCACCCAGTCCTTTAAAGTGCATCATTTGATTTAAATGAAAAGTGGATCCCTAAGTTGCAGCAAAACACTAGTGTACTCCCATCCTGTGCTATGTCTCCATTTATTGTTTACCAACTAAAGAAACCGCAACCCAAAATCAACAAACCGTATTTCTAGCATGCATGACCTGTGTGAGGTGTTGCTAAAACCTCATTGATACTGGCATTTCATCTCATGAAAGACATCTCTGTATCTATGCAGGGGTTAGGTAGGTTATTATTATTTTTTAAATAATAATGTGGCAAAGATGAAAGGGAGATGATTTGAAGCGCTGCTGCAGTGTCATCAAGAGTAGGGTGTTCAATGAAATCACACCTCTAATGAATCATTACATCAAGAGTCTAATCAGACCTGTTCTTCAAGGATCACTTATTTATCAACTCTTGGCTTACAACTGTACTTCACCTGTCTTTTAATTCTCTGACTGACAAGGATGTAGATGGAAGGAAGGGAAGGAAGGAAGGAAAGAAGGAAGGAAGGAAGAAAGGAAAGGAAAGGAAGGAAGGAAGGAAGAAAGGAAAGTTCACACAAGTGCAGAAGCAATGCTTGGGGTCCTCTGTCTTTAAGGATGGTTAAGTGCAATCTTACAAGTGCTACTATAACACCAGGTGAGGAAATACTACCAAAAGCCATTTTTCCCAGGCAGTGGGAGAAATCTGCATCAGAATATACGGCAGGGATCCACCCTAGAAATATGTCACTCCCCAGAGGGAATGCGTTCTTCCCATAATTTCAAAATTCCACACAGGTTGATTAACTGGAAGCACTTCAGGAGAGTAAAGTATAGAATGCTGCACTTGAGATTCACTGATTGATATATTTTATATAACTCAAGGCGGAAAACATATGCAACACACTTTCCTCCTATTTTCCCCATAACAACAATCCTGTGAGGTTGGTTGGGACAAGAGAGAATGACTGGACCAAGGTGACCCAGGCGGCATTCACGTCTAAGGTGGGATTAGAACTCAAGGTGTCCTGCTTTCTACCCTGGTGGCTTAACCACTAGACCAAACTGCCTTTCCTGTAGTTTCTTGTAATTCCAGGTGACAACCCACTCAAGGCATCCATACTGTACTAGGCTGTACGTATTTGTTTGTTTATCAAATTTGTGCACTGCTATAAATACATGTTTCGTATATTTATTGTAGAAAGATAAAAACAGGAGAAAAGAAGAAATAATATGAGAGCAATACAGATAGTCCTTGCTTACTGATCATTCATTTAGCGACGGTTCAAAGTTAGAAGTCAGTACTGAAAAAGAACACTCATCCGGTCCTGAGATTTGTGTCTGCAGTGTCCACACAGTAATGTGGTCATAATATGGGCAATTGGAAACTACTGTATACAGACAGGGACTGTAGGAATAAAGAATGTGGGACCATTTGGATTTCTGCATTTTTGCTGCTTCCCCATCCCCGTTTTGAAATTACCTCAATGAATCTGCTCAGAAAATGAATATGTTGTGCTTCCACCAACATCTCTACATATCAAATAGCACAATTACCATTAAAGCAGGGGTGTCTGCTGAGGTTTTTAAAAATAAAAAGAAATTAGCACTTGTACATATTGTTGGAAGAAACATCCACGTCCTGTTCCAAGCCGGGAGAAAGGCACTAGAGACAAAATGGAGGCTGGAAGCTGATTGGAAAAGGGGGCATTTATTGATGAAGCAAGACCATCAAGCATGAAGTTGAGAGTGGGGGGTATTTATACTTTCTCTTGAACTTCCTGTTCCTGTGCAAGAACACATATTCTGTTGGCTGTTGTCACACTCCCATCGGACCATGTACAAATCCTGGAGTTTGTCTAAGTTTGAACTGCTAGGGGTGGTGCAACTGAGATGATGTAATGAAGGGGCTCTGGGCAATTCCTATTGTGGCTGAGGACTAATCCTACCTTGTTGGATCTTGGGTGAAGGTATTTGCTTATGGATAGAGCTAGCTGTCTCTTAAGTGCTGACATCTGCTGTGGAGTATTAAGGAAGGTGGGGGCTGCTTTCCAAGAGCACTTCTTATGCAGGGAAATATAATATTCTGTCTTTTAAATATTTCTCAAAATATTTCATTCTTCTAGGAGATGGGCGCATGCTAACTTTCTACGATATAAAAAGGCAGACCTTCAATTATATGATTGTGGCCCTTGACATGGATGGTGCTTAATGAAAGGCCCAGGCAACTGTTTTAGAGCACCAATCCGAGTTTTTATTAGCCCACTTGTGATATACTCTCTCACCTTTATTTCAGAGGACCTTAAGTTTGCAGTTGGTTTTGTTAAAACAAACCAGTCAAAAATCCTTGCTGATCTATCTTCAAGGATCTCAAAGCAGTATCAGCCCCGAAATACTTTTGTGCCTCAATTTCTCAAGATTTCCCCGTGTGTTAAACGCGTCCCGAATCCCTAGGTTCCACGCGAGGTGGATTTTACCTGTTGCTTGCAGGAAAAAAAAATGGTGGGACTCCCAGGTCTTAAGGCTGGGCTGGTTTGCAAAGTAAGCAGCCGCTGGTTCTCCATGCAAGCCTTTGCGGGAACGAGACTTCCGTGCAGCCAAATACGCAGCCCCAACCGTGCAGAAACAAGCACATGCAACAAGCACGCACACCGCGAACATCCCGCCGCTCATTCAGCAAAGCGGGCAAAAAGCGTTTGATTTTGTACCGCATGACGGGAGTTTTGTATCCCTGCCGACCACAGCCCAACTATTTGCTCTAAAGTGTGTATGGGCGGCGGGGGGGGGGGGGATGGAAGGGTGGAGGTGGGCAAGACAAAGAATAGCAGCTGCACGAGAAACCGACCGCAAACAACTTTGCAAGGCGACTTCCTCCTTGGGTCGGAAGGGCAAAAGGCACGCCAAATCTTCTTCTTCTTTTTGGGGGGGTGGGGAGGGGAGTTTGCATCGGATCGTAAAAATCCCCGCATCTTCCCCGCGACTCCAAGCTTTCCTGGCCGCCGCCGCTCCGCTCGTCTTTGTTCCGGCCTCGCGCCTCTCTCCTCGCCGCCCAGACTTCTGTTTTGGGCTCGTCCCGCCGCGGCCCCCTCCTTCGCTTCTGAGCGCCGCCCCCGCCTGCGGGCCCGGGGCCGACCCTCCTCTCCGCCCCGCTGCCCCGGTCACGCCCCCCTCGCGCGCTCCACTCCCTGCTCGCTTCTCTCCATTCAAGCGCTCTTCGCGCTCCGTTCCTCGTTAGCCGCCGTCTCCGCTTCCTCCTCCTCCTCCTCCTCCTCTTCGCCATGTCCCAGCGCGGCTCTCCTGCTGGCGGCTGCTAAGGCAGGCGGGCGACCGAGCGACCCCGTTCCTTGCTTGGGGTGCGTTTGGCGTGCGCTTTCGGGGATGGGGGGCGCCTAAAGCCGGCCGTGGTGTGAGGAGAGCGGGGCCGGGACGATCTTCGGGAAGCTGAGGCACGCAAGAAGCCATGGAAGCGCAGTCGGTGTCTGGAAGTCCGTCGGTGGCGGCGGCGGCAACGGCAGCGGCTCCCGGCACCGGCGCTCTCCCCTCGGAACCGGCTAAGGATACCGACCGCCAGCTGCGTCTTCGCCTCTGTGTCCTCAACGAGATCCTGTGCACCGAGCGGGACTACGTGGGCACCCTGCGCTTCTTGCAGTCGGTAAGCGCCGTGGCTCCGGGAGGGCACGGCTGGACCCCGGAAAAACCGGGATGTGCGGGGTGGGGTGGGGTGGGGGAGAAGAGAGAGTATCACTGGGTGGGCAGGCGAGGAAGAGGAAACGGGCGACTGTGCATCTGCTGCGGCGGTGGGACCCGCTGCAGCGAACGTGGAGGTGCCAGCCCGGGAGACTCTCGCCGCCTTGCGAAATGGGCTGCTGCGAAAGTTGGCCGGCGCCGGTGTCGTCGCGCCAGACTTGTCTGTGGAAAGCGATGCCGGAGCTCAGGCATCCCGTATCCAGTCCTCTGGGGCTTCTTGGGACGATTTCCCGCCAGGTTCTGTGCTCCGAGCTCCCCTTGTTCCCGGGACGCGTCTTCCCCCACCTGAAGGGCTTGGAGTGGCCAGCTTGGCACAAAAGGGCGAGCCGGCTGAGAAGTGGGCTGTGGGGAGAGGGGCAGCCGAGGACGGCGTGCTCGGTTCCTGCGGCCGGTGAAAGCGGACTTTGGTCTCCCTGGGGGAAAAAAAGGTCTGGGGATTCTGGGTGGCAGAGAGAGGGTGTTGCCCTTCGACGTTTGAAGAAGGGGCACGGCCCGCCCTCGGTCTTGGGTTGAGCGGCGTGGATGATTTGCAAGCGGGGATGTCAACACTGGAGAGAGAGCTCGTCTATCACGTGGCTTTTCTTGAACTCCCCGCCCCGCAATCTTTGGGCTGCTGGCCGAATGCGCAGCCGGCACACTGGGGCGTTTGGAAATTGCTACCGGTGGGCTTCTAGGTGGGTGGTAAGAAGCGACAGCGTTTGCCTCATGGCGTGGGAAAACTGGCCCTTGGTGTGGTATTTAAATCACCCCTTTCAAGATCCAGAAGCCTTCAAGATGTTTACACGCAGTTGGTTGGTCTTGCCATAGTTCATCAGGTGCCTGATTCGGCGTAAGGGGGAGCCCTTTCCAAGCAACAGTGATATAGTATTACTAATGGATGTTTTTTTTTTATTATGATTTTTTTTAAAGCGGAGTGATAAAACCCTTTCTTGTCTGAAGGGTTGTTTTAAAGCGCTCCCCCCCACCCCTTGACTTTGTTCTCTTCCAGGAGAAGCTTGGAGTGCATGGTTTAGACTCCAGTGACTTTTCCAGCAGTAAATCTTGGCTTATGTAGAGACTCTTTTGCTTTTTATTTTAAAAGTCATTCCAGGCACTTTTGTAGTCTTCCTAGAAACAGTCTTTGTTGCTTGAATTTTGGATTACTTATGTGTTTTTATTGGATTTAGCCAAGCTATGTGTATCCATGTCAGGGTCATTTTTATTTTCTTGGCCAGATTAGTACTTCCGTGAAGAGTTCCCTTGTAGTTTTGCAGCCGTGGCAGTTGAAACTCATCAGCATTCCGAAACATTTCTTCTGTCTTTGCACCCAATTGCTTTGTGGCTAACTCTGTCCTCATGTTCTTCTGAAACTGTGGGAACAAACATCTAGCTTTGAGCACTGCCTAAAAACATCTATAATGGTGTTGGTTTTGTAAAGCCTCGTCATTAGCAACAACAGCATACTTGAATTAGTGTGTCTCATCTGCAATTAAGGAATAATTTAAGGAATAATTTTAAGGAAACATTTATTGAAACGTTTGCATTTATACACAGTCTGGTTCTCTTCAGACTAACTATTGAGCGAGCTTCTGCACTGAGCTCTTTTAAAGCCATAACAAGTCAGGTGCAAAGTTTAGTCATTAAAATGCCAGGCATCTTTTCATATTGCGTTCATTTTCATTGTTACTCTCTCCCTCCCACTATTAATTTTTTAATTTACAGCAGATCATGACACTTGGCTGTCTGATCTATGTGATCTCAAAAAGCTAAGCTAGAAAGCTGGACTGGACCTAATTCTTAGTAAGGATGGGAGATCACCAGAAAATTTCAGGATATTTGGGATAGACTGGAGAGTCAATAAAGTACTGTAGAGAAGGCATTGACAGGTTATTTCTATATTGAGCCCAGAAAATTACATGTGCCTATGTAGTCATCATGAATCATACTCCACTCAAGGGTGAGTTTACTATTACCTTACTTAGAGCTCAGAAAGAGATCGTTTGAAGGACCATCAGTGTCAACATGAAAGTCCCTGAATCTTTACAGATTAAGCAATATTAATTTTATCTTACACTCTTTTTATTGTACACCCTATTATATATTATATGGTTGCATTAGTTGCAGTATTTCCTGGTAGCATGGATAAAGTGGCAGCTTAGCAAGGGTACACACTATCACATTTCTTTTTTCTTGTTCTAGTTGTGTCCATGCATCAAATGAACATAACTGTGACCCATTCCATTTTCTACGAGTAGAGAGGTAGTGTATTTTGCCTGTAGTATAAAAAAATAGGGATAGCGTCTTCTTGACACATTAGAGAAATCTTTGTGTTTTATCTTCAAATATTCGAGTGAATCCCAACATTCTTATAACAAGAACAGTTTCCTGTTCATTGCTCATAGTTTGCAAGCCATCATTTGCAGGAGATGCATAATCGTGCTCATTCGCAGCTAAGACGCAATGAGTTCATTATGTTGAAAGATATCTTCTGCCTAAATTTGTATCTGGTTTCATAACTTTCTCTAGTTTTTGCTCAGGGGTTTTTGAACTTGTCTGCAATTATGAGAGCTAGAAACTTGTTCTTGGAACTTCCAATTCTCAAAAGCTGTATTTTGAGGGGAGGTTGTGTGTGTGTGCCTTCAAGTCATTTTTGTTTTGTTTTGTTTTTATTGCTTGCAACTGCCTGGATGAGTCCCTACAGTTTCCTTGGTAAGATTTTGGAAGTGTTTTGCCATTGCCTGCTTCCTAGGGCTGAGAGAAAGTGACTGGCCCCAGTTGGTTTTGTGTTTAGTTTGGGACTAGAATTTGCAGTCTTCTGGATTCTAGCTGATGTTTTAACCACTACACCAAACTGGCTCTTAAATTTAGTATTTGTTATACTGAAAATATTTTAAAGTGATATTTATTGTGACGATAAATCTCTTACTGTTCAGTAAGTTGCAATCCAATATAGTATTTTCACTTTATGCTTTCCAATTTACAATTTTAGTACACCCTCCAAGCTAGTGTGGAAGGCAATTCTCCCTGATTGTTTTCATCAGAGGCTGATTTGTAACAATTGAATACAATTCCATCACAGTATGATTATAGGTAATATGGCAGTGTATAGCCCCTGTTTTGATATTATCGTCCCATTTTCTTTGAATCATTTAAATAATTATCTTTTAATCTATAATGAAACTATTAAGATAGTGGGGAAACAATTACAGTTTCACAGATTTGATAAAACAAGCAATCAACAAAACCATAAAAGAGCAGTAAACATGAAACACATAAATAACAATTTATTATACAGGATAAACATTATATAAACATGTAAGAAGGATGGAAAACTTACAAATTTGGTTAATCTTCAGACAATTTTATTGTGGGATAAGAATATTTTAAATATGTGTTTTTCTCAGAAAAAATATTAACTGCATAAAATTGGATAAAGTTTTTTGTATAATCCCTCATTTTTCTGTAAGAATCTGAAATAAGATGAGGTAAAATTAAAATGAGTGGCTGTGCTTACTGAAGATTGCAGGTTATGTATTTCTTCCTTTTATTTATTTTTTCCTGTTGTCTCTGATTTGCACAGTACGTTGTCAAAATATCATATGGTCTGTTTTGGTTTAAAGATACTCCAGCTAATAGTAATTTAAATCATGACTTAATCCACCGTGTACAAAGCAAAATATTATACATATTTTCTATAAGTGAAAAACATGAATTCAGTAGTATTACTGTTGGCTGAAAATGATATGGTTATTTGAAGGGGCAATAGCAACTGAAATCTTGGATTTCTTTAGTAGACATCAAGAGTATGTAATCTTCCAAAACTGTCAATTAAAGTGGCTTTTGGCTTCAAGTTATTGATGTTTTGTTTCAGTGGAATGTCCTTTTATAAAAAGCACTTGTTACTCAACCATCACTATTCTGCCCTGCCTTGACAAAACAAATCAATCATCCATCCAATAACCAGTATTCTGGTTATTGAAGATGAGAGTTTGTTGTTCGCAGATCAGGTTATTTGCCTCTGGTTCTTTGCCAGGAGTAAGGTGAGCATGTTTGGTTTTGACAAATCATAGTTTAATAAGTGTCTGTTTTTATTGTATGGAGTCATTCTTCTTGTTGTGAAGAGAATGGGCACTGTGCTTCCTTTGTGTTTCTGGGTGTGTGTAATAGTTAGCCAAAATCAAGCAACTTATCCTTAGCCTCATGTGGGAATCCAGTCAATGGTTGATTCCACAACTTCTTGTGAATATCATTGGGTACTAAATGTGAATCTGCATTTATGTTATCACTCAAGAATTAATTGAAAAAATAGAGGTTTAGGAAACGGATCTGTGGCTGGTGTTCACATCTTTAACTAGGCCATATTTTACACATTTAAAGTAATTATCCTGAGTAGCTAAAACATACTGAACTAGAAATTATAGACAGTGCCTCTATTTACACAACGTATTAGGCCAAAATAGGGTTGATTAGCGTATAATTTAGCATGTCATGCAGATGCAGCCCAATAGTGTTGTACTGGTATATGGCTGTACCAGTGCATCCGTGCATTAGTGATGGCTAATGGTAATCCTGTTTCAGAGCTCTGTCTATAGACCTTCAATATTTAAATACCCAGCTATACCAATTGAGCACAGTATGTGTAGCTTTAGCCTACCAGAAATGAAGAGCTTGAGAAATGCACCTCATGCATGCTAATTCTGCCTATGAATAGAAAAATCATATGTTCTAAGTTTGTAGATGATATGTTTCCAGAAAATTTTTTTACAAGCCATGTCAGGTTATACTCTGAATCTCACACAATTGAAGTTTTGTATAAGTGGGGTGAGAAGGATTCCAAGAAAACGTTATTGACTACTGCTTAATTGGAAGACTCCAGAGAAGAATATTTTCTGAAAGCTGACAAGGTCTTACAGGAGGAGGTTTTTT